AGAGAGATAGGCAATCCTGTGTGATTTACACCCTCTGAGAACCTGCTGGAAGGTCAGCTATGAGTTCATTCTGACTCAATGGTACACAGCACCACTAATCTTTATGGAAAGGAGCCCTAGGGTGTAACATATAGGGTTGCTAAAGAAAGGTTGTCAGTTCAAATCCAGCAGCTGCTCTGTGGGAAGATGGACAGTGACCTGCTTTAAAGACTTATGTCTTAGAAGCCCAAAGGAGAGTCACTGTGAGTCAGAATTGGCTCAATGACAGTGGGTATAATGGTATAGCAATCTTTATGGAATCAGATTGCCATATTGTTCTTCTATTGAGCAGCAAGTGGATTTGAACTGCTGACCTTTCAGTTGGCAGCTGAGTGTCCATATATAATGGTATAGCAATCTTTATGGAAGCAGACTGCCATATTGTTCTTCTGTGGAGCAGCAAGTGATTTGAACTCTTCCTGATAGGTACTCAGGGTCCTGGAAATTAGCTCCAGCTGAATGCTTATTTCATTCATGGTGTGTGGCAGTTTTAAAACAGGTGCACAATTTTTTTGCATTTCATTACACTCCCCTTCAAATAGGGCATTAGTGCTTCGCATTCAAGGAACAGAATGTCCTCTTTGGACATCTGCCCTGTAAATCCAGTTACCAGGTTGTGTGTGGAGACTGCAGCCACATTGACAGGCCACATGTAATGTTCTGGCCAATAGCTTCCACTATCCTGACAGCCTCTGTTGGCCTAAGGGCAAGAAACTGCACTGCAATCCTGAAGGCACACAATTTGAGGCCACCAGCTGCTCCATAGGGGAAAGATGGTCAGCTTCCGTCCATGTGATTTACAGCCTCTGAAAGCCTGCTGGAGAGTCAGCTATGAGTCAATTCTAAACACACAGCAGTTGCCAACATATTAAACCACAAGCAATGACAGAAACAATGTTATCTTTAATCTCCTCTACAGTCCTGAAAAGTAGGTATTTACAGATAAAAAAACAAGTTCCAACTGAAGTTTCACATTGAGTGGCAGAGCAAGGATTTAGCATTCTCCACAACTGCATAATGGGAGATGGATCAGACCTGTTTATCTTTAAACTTTAAGAAGGACTCATTTCCACAACAACAAAATAAAGGTAAACAACCCAAATGCAAAGTGGGCACTGGATATGAACAGAAACTTCACCAAAGAGGACAGTCAGATGATGAACAAACACATGAAAAAATTCTCAAAATCCCTAGCTCTAAGAGAGATGCAAATAAAAAATAACTATGAGATACCATCTCAATCTAGTAACAATAACAAAATTCAACAGAGCAGCAGACAACAAATGCTTGTGAGGTTGTGGAGAAACTAGAACCCTTATTCACTGTTGGTGGGGGTATAAAATGGTCCAGCCACTCTGTAAGGCAGTATGGTGCTTTCTCAATAAGTTGGAAGTAGAAATGCCATCTGACCCAGCAATTCCATTACTGGGAATATACCCTAAAGATATCAGAACTGCCACCCAAACATATAAGCACTCCCATGTTTATTCCTGTGATGTTCACAGTAGCAAAGAGATGGAAACAACCCAAGTGCCTATCAACAAACGAATGGCTAGAGAAGATGTGGTATATTCACTAAACAATAAAGAACTCAAGAAATACAAAATGGGTGACCCTGCAGGACATTATCTCATCACAAAAGGACCAATACTGCATAATGCCACTGTTATAAAACAGGACTGACATGGGGGTTATTAGGGGGAAACTAAGAAAAGAGGGGATAAAGTACACTGCATTGAAACAGATGTAGAACTGCTTGAAAGGAATATCTGATTTGGTGTTATCTGATCAACAAGAGTCCAGAATAAGAGCTGTGTAGTAAAGTGGACTGGGGAAGCGAGCTCTGGTGGCCTAGTAGCAAGAAGGTGTACTGCAATCCCAGAGGTGCACGGTTCAAATCCACCAGGTGCTTTGCTAGAGAAGGAGGAACAATCTCATTTAATGTGTTCCATTGCCAGGAGATTTCCTTATCATCCTCAATCTGACAGATGTGGCAGAGCTAGGGTGCAAACTCAGGGGCCTACTTGGAAATAAAAAGATCACTAGTAAAAGGTGTATGAGGATCCAATGCAGGAGGGAGAGTATGGGGAGCAGAAGGGTGAGGATGGGTGGAGGGGTAATAGGATGGTAGAAATAGAAATTTGATGGATGGAGGGAGGTGTGGGTAAAGGAAACGGGACAGATCTGACAGGGATCTGGAAAGACAAGACAGTGGTAGGCATACTTCAATGTTGATGAAATAATTTTTTAAAAACCCCACATAATGAGTCTGAATGATTGTATGAAAAACAATGTGAATCAAGGATAGTGCGAAACACAACATATATGAACTTTGTAAGCAAACCAATATAAAGCCATTTTTTAAAAGCCATTTTATTAGTGTTGTACTTTGTATCCCACTGCTCTCAAGGCAATTCCAACTCATAGCTACCTTGGAGGACAGGGGAACACTGCCTCTAGGTTTTCCAATACTGTGAACTTGTATGGGGAGATTACCTCATCTTTCTTCCACACAGTGGCTGGGGAATCCAAACCACCGACCTTTTAGTTAGCAGTCATTTACCCTTAGCCTGCTCAGGGTTCCTTGTACTTTAAATTTGTTTTAAAGTTTTATGAAGGTTGCATGGGGCAATTTACTCACATTTTCTCATTTAATGTGTTCAATTGCCAGGAGATTTCCTCAATCTGACAGATTAGAAAGTCAAGGCTGAAGATAAAATGAGTTGCCCAGCTTTCTACAACGTGTAGGGCGTGGCAGAGCTAGGGTGCAAACTCAGGGACCTACTTGGAAACGTTTTTCTCGGCCACTTTTGACCATTTTTAGACAAGGTGAAGAAGATTTGTAAAAAAACCCATTTTATACAATGTAAAAGACAAACATTTACAATAGAGCTTCCCCCTGTTAACGTTCACAAGTTGTCACAATCAGAGATAGCAAGCTTAGTGATCATGTGGTTCAATCCCGATTTCACAGGTGAAGAAAGTGAAGCTCACAGCAAGTAGGACCCATCACGGAAACGAGGGCTTGATTGTTCTTTGATGCGATGCAAAAACAAACAAAAACAAAACAAAAAAACAAAACCCAAGGCATTTCTTTCCACCCCTATGTATCATCTCACATCCTTTTGAGGCTCAGGTGTGACCACTTGTGTCACCCTTTCCTTGGACATTCCTTTTTGGCCAATAGCTTGCGTTGCTCAAAATGTGGAATTGATATTTTCATCTCTGTGCCAACTGTTGGTCTGAGTCTAGCCAATACGTGCTAAGCGCTTGACATTCACCATCTCCCCAAACCACACATCCCCTCTTCGTGCATTTTAAGGGTGAAAAAATAACTTAAAAAAAGTCAGTCGTCCTGGTGTCTAGCAAAACCAATCGTGGCAAGCTTGCTTCTTAATGCAGCAACTCGTGACGTCCCTCAATCTTAGTAATATTAAATAGAAACGAGAATAGCACAACTAGGCTAAGTGACCGTTTTGCCCAAATCACCCCACTACTGTCAAACAGCGAAGGTTCGCTCTGCGGGTGGAAGCTCTAAAGTCCCCACGTTCCAGCCCAGCTTGCCAGCGCCGAGCAGCACGCCCGCATCGCGCCGCCGTCTGGGAGACCCAGCGGGCGGGACCGAAAGCGCAGCGCTGCCACGGGGCGTGGGAACCCAGCTCTCCTCCGGGGCTGTCCGCGGCAATCGCCTGCGTGCACGGGGGCCGGCCGCCCTTGCCGCCGTCACGGCCCCGCCGGCGCCCCCTCCCTGTCGACGGCCCCTCTCCGCTCTCGCCCCTTCCCCGTGTTCACAGCCTGCGTCCGGCCGGGGTGCCCTGCCCGCCCGGCACCGCGGCGGCCACCTCACATCCGGGCCGCCGCCGGCTGCGTGGAGGGCGCTCTTAAGGGGGAGGGCGGGGCCGGGAAGGAGGGGCGGGGGGCCGGGCCGCGG